AATTGGAGACCTTCCTCTACCTCCTGAATCTTTTTCCGGAATCTTCTGCTGCCAGTCCATGGGGACAAGGTATGTGCCAAAATACGAGTATACAGTATGAGTTGGGGATATGCTATTTGTATCTCAGTCTGTCTAAAATCTGTTGCACAGACTAAATCTTGGCTTTATGAACATAGTTAAGTTTTACATAAGTAAAGTATGCAATTTGTAGAATGTTGTATGAGTAGAGACAGATGAGCATTTTCATAAAAAATACTACTTTCCAAATTATTCATCAGAAGCTGTTGCCTGATGAAAAATAAAGTTTACATAATTTCACTAGCAACATTATCAGCCATGTGTCCTGAAATGGATATATGCATTGTTCATTTACTGAGATCTTTGTTGCTGGTAAATGAGTTTTATAGCATTTTTGATAATGAATATAAATAATAAATAGATTCATTTCAAATCTCGTAAACAACTTCAATTTTTTTCATGGTTTTCAAAAATTTTTCTACTATTGGTCTGTGTAATGCCCTTGAGATCTCTCTTTAGTTTTCCCTAGTTGCTTCATATTTTGCATCATGTTCTTTCATGTTCTCTGTTTCAGTCTTGGCTGTCTATGAGTTCTTTGAAAAAGGAGCGTGTTACACTTAAATACACACATCAAAAAAATAAAAAAGAAAAGCCCTTGTGTTGTATCAGAAGTGTATGTGGGAGATAAATCAGATTCTCAGTCAATTTCCTGATGGGAAAGGTTAGGGTTTTGTGAAATTTTTTTTTTTTTGGGTTGAAAAATGACATAGGTAAATACACAATTCTTAAAGACTTCTTTTTCAATTTTTCATTTTCTTGGACCCAATTCTGGTTGTAGTTACATCAGTAAAGATTCGGAATAGCTGAACGATAACTGGTAAAAAGTGCTTAAGAAACACTAACATTTGAAAAGTAGAAAATCTCTGCATGGTTTTAATTCTTGTTGCATCACAGTCAAAAGTACAAATTCCAGTGACTTTTATGTACTCTTACTGTAAACTGGGGTGAGAGCAGAATTATGGCAATGCTGAGCACTGTTGAAGATGTCATTCTGAAGTGTTAGCAAATTATACAAAAGCATCTGTTGGCTGCTGGGGTTTTTGGTGTGGGTTTTTTTTTAATTTTTATTTTTAATGGGTCAGGAGGACAGACTGTTTGCTTTGTTCAGCCACGTGTCTTCCTCACAATGATTGTTCAGCCATGTATCTTCCTCACAATGATTTTCCTGAGAAGACTGTGGTACTGGTGGTGTACATCCACTTCTCTTGATAATCTTAATTTTCTAGATTTTTTTTCTACATTTAAATAGGAATCAGATATGGTCACTCAGGCTGCAGGGAATTCCTGCTCAATCTGCTATTTTATTTAATCTGACAGTGAAACATTGCCTCCATTTTCCTTGTCAGATTTCTCTGTATTTTTGGGCATCTCGTGAGCAAAGATCAAACTGTACTTGTGGTGTGGTATGGACCACACATCCTGATACAGAAAGCCTGAAGCGTGACCAGGTCTCAGTCCTGGTGAATCAACAAATATGTTTTCATTTTTCACAAAGGAGGCAAGTATTTACAAGTGGATGTTGTGTCTGTAGTGTTGATAGATGATGAGGTAAGAAGGCTGAGGTAGGCAGAGAAGCTGCATTATGAAAGCAGGTGGATCTGCAGTGCTTGTTTGTTCAATAAGCAGAGTAATGTCCTGATTCGTGTAATGCAGTTGGTGGTGGCCAAATTCTTTGAGTCTGTGTAGCTGTACAGACCCTGATAGGCGACCCAGCTCTACTTACGGACAAAGTTTGCCTTCTTAATACAGTTCTTTGTGTCTGACATAAATGTAAATGAACCCTTTTTGACCAATATTGGGGCATATCTGATATGAAAAATAATTTCTTCAGGGCACAGCAATTATTCAGATTTCTGTGTGACATAAAAAGACTCCTGCACTAAGGGAAGGACTTCATTTGGAGCAGGTCACCTTTCTGTCTTTTCAGAGTGGGATTCTTTTGAGCTAATTTGGATATGTGGCTTATAATTTGCTTACCACAGAGATGTAAATATTTGGCAGGACACCACTGGTAATGGTCTATGAATCTCCTCATTGAGTTTAAGGAAGAAAAAAAAAAAACCCCACAAACAACACAACTTTAACTCTCTCCTCACAGGAGTTTTCAGAACAATACCATTTTTGTTTTCTCTGATGCTGGGAAGAGCTCAGGGATAATTCATCGATTTGCTCAGAAAATAACTTCTAATCTCCATTCCCTATATCCCAAGACTTTCATGTGCTGTTCTATGGGAAGCCCATGAGTGCCATAGTATTGGGTCAAAACCAACCTATAGTAAATTTCCTCAGAGAATGAAAATTGTGACTGTGAATGGGTGGAACCATAAAAGAAATTTACCCTTTTAAGCTGCTTAGATCCTTCACACAAAAGAGCCCCAGGAATTCTTATGCCTTGGAGCTAAGACCGGATCAATGAAATAGAATGGAAAAAGCTTTACATCTGCTGCCATATGGAGACTCACGCAATACTAGCAAAGTTGTAATGAACGGGTTTCCAGGGTGTTGGGTGCATAGAAGCCAAATTTATTTTATGACTAATATGGAGCATTTAAAAGGCTGGAGTTTTAAAGGCATAGCTGAAACTTGTGTATCAGGATGAAAATGTTCCCCAGTAACAGGAATAAGAAAGAGTCCTGCTAACTTCAGAAGACTATAGATCATGTGAAGCATTACTCAGAGTTACTGGTCTTTGAAAATTTGCTTCCTGCTTAAGTTTTCAACAGTGCTTAACTGAGGGATAGGAATTATGCTAACTTTTCACTGAGAGTGAAAGATACCTTTTGTGGGATAAGCTATCGATAGCCCCCAATTCTAAGAGTTATTCATATTATTATTTTCTTTAATAGCATTAATTACATTGTGTATTATGTGTTATTTATAGTTTTATTTGGATCTCAAATAAGCTAGATATGGGTACATAAAAATCCACGTAATTTGTAGACAAAAAAAAATAGTATTTGTTACACAAAGTAAAATAATAAATATAATTTGACTTCAAAGGAAAATAAATAGTTTAAAAGCAATACTTGTGTGCTCTCAAAATAAACTAAACCACAACATGTTCAGACATTTAAGATGGGCATACATTTAAATAGAAATAATACGTGTTTTAAGAGAAGTAACAGAGTGGGGGCTGATTTTCTCATCAATACACACTCTTGTTTACATCTTTGCACTGAGGAGAGACTACTTCAGTACTGGGAACTTAAAAGCAGTTTGAGCTTTGGTTCAATTCTCAGGTATCTAAAAATGGTGCCCACAAATACATGCATGCCTGCAAAACTGGATGAAAAGTGATTAGTACACACATAATTTCTCTCTGCAAACCTAGGGTTTTTTATGTTAAAATGCTTTTCTGGGACAGTAAGGACCAACCAAAAATTTGGTCTATATTGTATAAAGCGTATCACCTTCAGAATGCACTGGTAAAAAAGTTGCTTTGTGAAACTGAAAGCATACATGCACCCTTTTTAACTAAAAAGCTAACACTGTTCTGAGATCCTGCTTATTCTGGATTTTTAATGTTCTGTGGCATGTGGAAAATGCAGTTATAGTACTTCGATGTGCTGTAGTGTATGCATGTATGTGAAATGGCATGGTAGCACCTATTGCAGTTTTAAGGGGACTTAATAGGCATTTCTCTGTAACGACATAGTTACTCATTAGTAGAGTTTCATTAACTGATAACACCAAATTTATAGGTAACACTAGATTTGCAAGCACTCCAGAAAGCTAAAATGCCTCCATTGTATCCCCTAGTATTTCTGCTGTAACTCACACAGAGGTTAAAACACTACTTCTCCAGAGAAGCTAGCAGTCTGGTGGGTACCCAGAATGAGATATCCTTTAAAGAAGATGATTTGGCAAAGTTCCTGTAAGCCAAACCTTGAACATGAGCCTAATGTGTCCTTCAAGGTATCCAAGGTATGACACCTAGAGATCCATCTAGTCAAAATTCCTAAAAGCTTTTGAAAATCTTGTGACTTTTAAGAGATATGTAGCAACTCAGGAAAACTGAGATGTGTATTAGTATAATTTCAACAGCCGCTGGTTTCATGTAGTGGCCAGTTTGGGCTTCTGCAAATGAATTCTTTGCATGCCAGTCCAGTGTTCTTGCTGTGGAGCCACAGAAGATGTTTACTTAAGTTGTGAATTTAAAAACATTCATTAAGATCTTCCACTCACAAGCCATTTGCCTCAGACTCTTTTCACAAGTGTCTGTCTGCTTGTTTTGGCAAGTCTTTATACTCTCTGTAACTTAGTCTACTTTAAAAGCTTTGTAAGTGTAAACAAATGCAGGTAATTTTCATTAAGACGTGAGTTTATCAGTTGTGTTTCATTTCCAGAAGTAAAAGCTTTTTCCTTTTGGAAAAAGCACGCAACCGCTGCTGAGAATGCAGTTTGAAACATAATGAATATGCAAAATTAGCAAATCTAAGAAAGCATTTCCTTCATCATACTCCAAAGGCACCACAAGCCTAGAGAAAACTTCGTGTTACCTGCCTCTTTATTTCTCAGCAGTAGGAGATTTCTTTGTCTATGCATTCCTGACCCTTTCCAGGTATCTGATGGCATCAGTTTCTAACTTTTGCTTTTCCCTTTGATATTCTTACTACAAGTAAAATAATAAAGAGAATTTGTTTATAAAAAAATAAAGATAGTGTTTACCCAGGCTTGAGTATAAGACAATGATGATACAGAAGGGCATGCAGATGCAGCAGGGAAAACTGTCTACCCAGGTTCACTTGCCAGACTGTCCTGCCATTTTGGGAAATGCTGCATGCTTCCTTGCATTTTAATCAGAAATAATAAAAAAAGCCAGTGATCGCAACATTGGTCTATAATGTTGTCACATAAAAGGCATAGCCATTTTCCTGCTGATCATCTCATTGCATTTACTTCTTCTTTTAGAAAGCCCCAGCTGCTAGGGAGAAGATGCATTTCACTCCTCCGCTGAAGAGGGCCTGCTGTACTGGGATCAAAGTGGGAATTACACTGAACACTTCTAGAAAGCAGGTCAGTACCTAAATATGGATTTATGTACCTAACTTTAGTTGAACATGTTGACCTAAGAGATCAGGAGAAGGATACACATTATGACAGTGGGAAAATCAAAGAAGGACCCCAGGAGCCTTGGTGCCCTGCGATTTGTTTAATTCCTAGGAGACTGCTTCAGTACTCACAGTACTCCTCCTTGTAAAAGGTGAGCCCAGCCCGCCCATGCTAGTTCACAGAAACTCCGTTAAATCTGTTGCTAGACATTGTACAATCCTGAGAAGCAAATTTACTGGTACGAATGAGTCTCTTCATGGCATTGGATCACTATTTTTACTGTGCAGATTGGCAGAGACTGGACAGTTTAGTTACTCTGCCATTGGATAAGTTTGATCACTTGATAGTCTGGAGATTGAAGGCTGAAGAGGCAGGGAGAATCTCCTCTGAGAGCTGGCATTCAGTCTGGAAGTACTAAGGGAGATTTCCAGACCTATCCTGAGCAACGCTAGTGATACCTCCCCAGGCACTTTGGCTTCATTCACCATGGCCCATCAGTGGTCTTGCATAGTCTGTCATCATAGGCCTGAAAATGCCTATTGGCTTTTTGTTAAATTAACATTCCAACAATATAATAATAATATAATAATAATAATAATAATAATAATAATAATAATAATAATTTTAAAAGGCCAGGAAGAAATGAATATCTAAAAAGCAGTATTTCATTAGCTTTTAGTAAATAAGGCAAATACCGGTTGAAAATTATTATGAACCAGAGTACGGCACAGCTGCATACTTATCACGAACTGTCCATTGCATGCAGTGAATGAGGGTCCTATTCTCAAAAAAAAAAAATAATAATAATAATAATAATAATAATAATAAAGCAGCTGTGTAATAAAGATTTGTCCATATGGGAAAATATATAATTTACCAGAACTCCAAGGAAGTATTCATTCGTCAGACTATAATCATCTTTTCTTGCTTCTTTTTGCAGTATGTCTAAGCATCCTGTATATCCTATACATCTTTTCATCCTGTTAGGTTTTCAGTACCTGGGCTTAATTTACTTGTTTTATGAACTTTTGAATTTTTAGCATTGTTCCTTCTGTTGGATTTCCACTGTTGATAACCTTCCTATTACCCTCTGTTTTTAGCATCACATTTTATTTTTTAAGTCTCATGGTTTATGACTAAGGCAGATTTTAAAGCTAGATAGCCACCGAGGTGTTTACTGAAGATTTGTCAGACTGCACTGAACTCTTGGGGCTTTGGATTCTCAGTCCTGTGGAAATTGAGGTCCTTGCTTGTCCATCCAATTTTGTGTCCACAAGGTCACGGTAATGGCACTTCCAGAACATTTGCAGTGCTTTTTCAGAAGACCTCCTCTCTATCTCATCAGAAGGAAGCTGTGCCAGGTCCTTTTGTACACATTGAACAAAGCCTTCTTTTCAGTGTGTTGCAACTAGGCGCACATAAGAGAAACTAATATTATTTTTTTTTCCTGGGAAGAGATCCAGTCATCAGGTACCTTTCTTAAGTGGTCAGTTTTCAGCAAGTAATTGAATGTCATCTTGTTAACCTGCTCTCTTCCCTTCTCTCCTAGTAGTCAAGCTATTTGTTGAAGGAGGTGAGTTATCTCACCGACATCTTTCCATTTCACTTGATTTATCACTTCAACATTTGAAAAGCACAGTAGAGCATAATTACACCCAAGAGTGTAGTTTAATATTGAAAACATTTCTTTCCTTTCCATTGCTACAAAGGAACCAGCTTTTGCAAGACAAAGGCAATACACCTATGAGCAGTGTTTTGAAGAAAATGATTACTACAGCTCATAAAATATGAAACAAAGATACATACGGAGTATGGAAGAGCTCCATGAAGTCTGATTTCACTAGCAAAAAAGAAAGTTACGTCTAAAGTATAACTAATAATCTAAGATTATATTTGTGTCATCTTTCTTTTTTTAAACTGATAGCTTTATACTTGGGAATTCTTCACTGCTCCAGTCCACAGAAAGTGATAAAAACAGCTGGTGGATATTTAAGTAGACAGCCCGTTAATAAGGTCTGCGGGTACAACTGCTAATGCTGAGACCCTATTTTTCAGCTGCCTCTTAGCCAAATTAGTGATTAGATAACTGTGGGGCAAGTTTATGCTACAGATGTGTCTTGGCGGTATTATCTCAGACTGAATCCGTGCTACTCTGTGGTGCCAGCACTTTTATAATGACAAAACTATGTTTTTATCCATGTGGCTTCTTTCATTTGTAAGAGGAATAGGGGAGAGGTTTTATTATACTAGTGCCAGAGGTACTTTGCTGGAACAGGAGTGATTTGTCAGGATAATATAGCAAGCTTTGTGTAAGGGGAAGCTTTCTCTGGCAAAGACAGAGATGTCTGCATTGTAACCTGTTTGTAGATTTACCACTGGCATCTTGTAATTTGTTTTGATTCACTTTGCAATCTTAACCTTCTTCCCATGTCCTTTGAAAATTAAGAAACCATTTGAGATCAAAAGTGCTTTACTAATGTCAGTGGAAAAGCAAAATCTTTGAAAAAAATAAGAGAGTTAAGAGTGGAAGTGCTGCCGTGTGGGATGGGCTTACCAGGGAGAAAGGAGATAGGACAGGGAACCTGGGCACCCCTGTGCTACTGAGGTGGTGCGGTGCATGCAGGCAGACTGGGAGTCTGCCAGGAAATCCACTAATTAAACATTTCTACTTGCCTAAACGTGGCCAGCTAACAGGTCATATCTGCCACTTTCTGTTTCTTCCCCAGGGCTGTTCATCAGGTACAAACTGGGACGATGCGCTGAGGTCCAGGGTTCAGTTTGGGGGCCCACTTCACTTGAGGCACAAAGTGCATGGCCCAGTTAGTTGACCTGCATGGCCCAGTTAGTTATGCTGCATAGTTATCAATATTAGAGCTATAATGAGGAAAGTGGAATTGAAGCCAAGTATTGGTAGGATCAAAGCTGGGTGGGGGGGAAGGAGGGCACGTAGGAAATTGGCTGTGTCGTTCAAAGAACCAAAACAAACATAAATGTGATTGTCCTCAGTCTCAAAATGATGACCCCAAAGTAGTTCAAATGATGTAACTGAGATTAAGAAATAATTGTAAAAGATGACAGCCAATGGAGGAGTACAATTGGGGCTGGTATATTATCACATATGTAACTTGGCTCCTTTTGTAATTGATGGTGAAACTCTCACTGACTGTACTGGAGCAAAATATAAACAATATTGAGTGTTGCATACTTGCAATTAGGACAACAGAAGAGGGCCAAAGTCAGATAAATGCAGCATTTACTGAGCCTAACTGGAACCTGTGGAAATACCTGTGGGCAGAAGATACCAAATACCAGTTGTTCTCTTTCGGGGAGGCTGATTTTATGGCTAACAGGTAATGAAGATAAGTACTTCTTCCAAAGGAAGGCACCAAAGATGCAAAGATGCCAAAGCATAGAAAATGACATTAACAGTCTCAGGACACCAGGGCATCAGGGCATCCGAACCATGAGGAGATTATAATCCGTGTTTTGTCATTCTCTGCTTCTGTTTGCTATACCCTGGGAAAAATACCAATGTTTTGTTATTAAAGGAAACAGTGTGTTTACCTTCTACACTTGAGGCTGTCTATCCCAGAACATTTTGAAGATTGCTAGTCTAAGTGCAGCAAGCATTAAGGTCATTACTGATAAAATTATAAAGGAATATAAAGTAACGAAACAGTAGTAATGACAGGAAAATACAAAATCTGTAGAAATTCTACCTACAGATTTTCCTAGTGTGACTCTTGCTTGTAGTTTCAGCCTCTCAGAGCAATTCCCCTGGAAAACAACACTGGCGTGAACTTTTTGGTCATAATATCTCACTTTGCCCTTCCAACAGACACTTAGAAGAAAGTTTTGTGGCTGAGTATTGGGCATCAATCACTTCCCTCTGCACAGCAAAATTAACACAAGTGCTGTGTGGAGTTATATTGGTTTCTTCTGCTATAAATTCAGGTTCTGGGACTCTGCCCTGTGGCAAAAAGGCAAGAAAGAGGAGCCAGACCTTTCTGTGGGTGCAGGTAAGTACTGCTGCCAGCCAGGGCACAAGCAGGGGATTGCCCATGGCTGGCAAGGCTGTGTGTGAGTCAGTCCAGGGCAACCTTTTGGTGACCGCCTGCCGGAGATTTGATTTATATGGCTGGCAAGGCAGTATTATAGAAGCAACAGGGAAGGTCCTGCCTGAGCAGCTCTTCCTCTGTTTGCTCAACAACACAATGGGAAAATCCTAACCAGCTTAGCTGGCTTTATTTCAGTTTAGGCTTTAGCAGTCTCTCAAAGGTGCTAAGCTGTATTGACTGAGCTACACTGAGTGGAAAATAAATCCTTTTTTAGGTTTCTAGCCTGGGCCTAGATTTGATGAGTCTAGTGCATGGGAAATAGGGATGGGGTAAGTTGGGAAAGGTTTCAAGTATGATACCAGTGATATTTCTGTGGAGATCCTGAGAATGGCCCAAGTGACTTGGGACCTCTCTATTTGGGAGTGTACCAGAAGCTTTTCGTTGATGATATATGGAGATTTTCTAAGATGTGTCCCCCATAAACCTTTAGTGAAAATAGGATCATGGAAAGGCAGTGGTGAGGTAAAGCATGGCTCTGTCATCTGCCTTCTCATGTTGGCCGTTGCCTGCCCAGGATTTGTGCCCCACTTTCATGTGGTGGCCAGAGCATTACTACTCCATCTACTTCTTTTCTCATCTTCTCACAGTCTTGCAGTCCTCCATAGCAGAGGGTCATGACAAATCTGTCCATGTCCCCCTCCTGTGATACAGAAATCGCAACAACCCTGCCATTTAACTCACACATTCAATGTATTTGCTTTCATTCATACTTGTATGAAGGCTCTCTACTCAGGCTTTAGAGCAGCCCTGCAGCAATTAGCAGAAATACTGACAAATTAAAAACCAGCTGCACCAAATGAAAATGTTGTAGCTTATGACTTAGAAACTCAGCTTGGCACATCCGCT